CTCAAACTTGCCCAAAAAATCTGAAAATTTGGGCAGATTTTCACAATTTTCGGTTGCCGACTTCGTGGCTTTATTCCGGCCGAATCACTTGGAGTTTTGGGGAGAATTTTGGTGTTAATTGAAGAGGACATTGTGGGCTTTCCAACGGTATCCGAAATCGGCGATTTTGGTGGTCGGAAGTTGCCGAAAAATTGCCTCAAACTTGGCCAAAAAATCTGAAAATTTAGTGACCGTTTTGAAAGAAATTTCAAACTTCGGTGACCGTTTTTGAAATTTTGAAACTTCAGTGACCGTTTTGAAATTTTCAGGTAATTTCAATGACCATTTGTGAAATTAACCCTAAATTTATAGAGTTTGATTTGATATCATATCGGATGATAGGACTTGTCCTAGGCCAAACCCTTTCCTATGCCAGGTGGGTGTTTTGAGTACAAAGTGGGGAAAATAATGAAGGTGGATAGTAGAAGAGGACCACAATATTTGGCTTTTTATAAGAAAGCATGCGAATATTTTTATTCCTCATTTTCCTCGTTTCTTAAATATTTTTTATATTTATTCATTTAATTAGTATTATATATCGATGTCTTATCATGACACGATTGAATTAAGGCAAATGTTAATATCCATCTACAGTTTTCCATTGGTGCATAGTAGATAGATATCAACATATTTTTGACATCTCGATAAATTATATCTAACCCTTATTTCATAGAGAGTCAATTCAATAATTAATTTTAAACACATATTTTTTGAGATTCACAATCTAATTTAATAAACAAGAGCATAATATTTTTTATTTAATAAAAAGTTGGGATGTGTCAAATGTCAATAATACATTAAAGGTACAGCAAATCTTAATTCATTCAAAAACTTTCAATTGTTAATGTAACATAAATAACTTTAAGTAAAGTTCTCTGAATGTATAATTGTTATCACGTCATCAGTGAGAAATTTTTATCATGTTTACTGTGGGTAAGAGATCAAATTTGCTTCGACGAATATGTCACCTTGTATTTTGTTTTCCTATGTTCTAGATGGTTGCTTGAGTTGACTCCAAAGAGATTCCGATACCAACTAATGGATTTCGATTTCTTTTTCTTTGCTTTGTTTATTTATTTTTTATTTAAAAAGATGAGAAATTTGTCTTTTCCACTGATTTAGTACTTTTTGTGAATTTAAGAATTTAAGCCTCTTTTTTTCTCAAGCCCGTACGGTTTTCCATATTTTAAATAAAAGTAATCCATTTCATCATGCTCTAATAACAAACAGTAATAGGTCCGCTGTCTCTTCGAGGCATGTTTGGTAAGTTCAATTAAATATAATATAATATATGTAATAATTACTTTAATTTACTGCTTGACATATTAAAATCCTTATTTTAATGTTCCAGTCGTACTCAACCCCTGTAGACATTTTCTCTCTTTTCCTTTACCCATTATGTTACATTGTATTTACGCAACCTTGATTTTGGGTTATGACTAGTAGGTACATTTAAAGTTTTTTGGTGAGATTTCTCCTAAAAGCAAGATAAATAATTGTAAAGTATTGTTAGAACTTTTCATTTATCAAACCTATAGATATGAAAAATTAGAAATATTTTAGAGCTAATTTTTCCAATGGTCGTTGAACTTTTGTTCTTTTCGATTGCTCACTGATATTTAAAATAGCAAGTTTTGACCATTAAATTTATCCAAATGTGAGAAGCTACTCGCTGACATAACATCTGTTTCAAATCTTAAACAGAATTAGTGACGTAACTAACAGAATGCACATGCGGTGCTCCGTCACGTCGTTAACAAATAGTCATGTAAGAAATCGTCTTTCATTGTTCACTAACTTTGGAAAACGTCTTCGATTGTTCATTAATAAATTTAATTAAATAATGCCGTGCCACATGTGACTAATTCCGTTAAAGATTTAAAAAATGATGTTATGACAATGACTAACATCCAACGCTTGGATACGTTTAGTGGCCAAAAGTTGACATATTAAACTTTAGTGAGCAATCGAAGATACAAACATAAGTTTGGTGACCATTGAGACAATTAACTTAATATTTTATAGGACGAATTGATAATAGTTGTGAACCATCCCGCAAGAACAAATTTTGTCGTGGGCGCACACCATTTTATTCGACCTTGAACTCAACTTCCTATTCACCCATAAATATTTCATCACACAAATATACAATATATAGGAGATCCTACAAACTAATTACACGTCACTTTAAATGTTTTGCGATGTATCATAAACAACCTTGCTATGTGTACAGAAAAATTTTGTCAGAATACACTTGACAGTTTTTTATTCGATAATGACGAAAAAAAAGACCATCCAGAAGTTGCGACGTGTGAAATTCTGACGATTCTGTTTATGTACGGGCAGAGAAATTGTTGTCAAATTTTAACAAAAGTTGACTACCGACCACATTATAGAATCCATTTTTCGAGGTTCATTCTTTTTTCATTTGGTGCATCCCCACTACTTCCAAGTAGATTTCATTTTCGGTCAGACTTGCGAAATCTTAGTTGGATCATTGAGTTTTAATTCAATTTCAAATTTCATCATTCCATCACCATTCGTCTTCCAAATTGATGAGAGTTGTTTAGTTGACAACTATATCATTATAAATCTTCCACTTAATTTTTGTGTGCACTATAGTAATTCACCACTACACCATGTCATAAAGTGTCAAAATAAAAAAAATAAAAAATAAAAAAAATACTTATTTCATTTTTTTTAATTTAGTGATATTGTTATAATTTTTTTTTCTCGGATGCCACGTAATACGTGGGAGATTAGTTACGATATTGTTGTCTGATAAGCAATTTACTTGAGTTTGAAGGATAATGTGTGACAAAATGCGATGTAGCGGTGAAATTTGTTTATGCATGCACACATATTGTTTATGCATCAGAAACTGGACAAAAAGTCAAAAACTTGGTAAGAGTGGGTTTTCTGTGTGTTGTG